CGTGGCATTCTTTTCCCTCCCCTGTGCTGACACTTTGTTTGAGTTTTGAGAACAGCATAGAGACGTGAGGCAGGAAACCCACAAATTTAAATAAAATGCAAGAGAGAGAAAACACAGAGCCCAGGGACCGAGTTCAGAAACGGACCCTGCACTCCCAGAGCTGTGAGTAAAAAAAAAGGGCGGGGGGAATCCTGGAGCAACCCATGGAAGTTTGGGTTTGTTTGGTTTTTTTAGACGCAGAAGGAAACCGGGGCACGCCCTCATGAGATGGGACTGGGGCATTGGCTCCCCGTTGGATGAATTCTGGGCGTCCCGGCACCGCCAAAAAGGAACTTTTTGAATTTTTGGGAACCCGTCTTCCATCGCTTTTCATGCATGCATAGACACATACAGTGGGGTCTCGACTTAAGAACTTAATCCGTATTGGAAGGTGGTTCTCAAGTCAAAAAGTTCTTAAGTCGAATCTGCATTTCCCATAGGAATGCATTGAAAACCATTTAATCCGTATCTGCTCTTTTCTGTCCATAGAAACTAATGGGAAGCTGCTATTCTGCCTTCTGCCACTACGATCCTTCTCTCCCGTACTTCGGAAAGAGGGCAAGCGGTCCAGGTAGCTAGGCAACCCTGGTTGCCAAGGGCAACGAGGCTGGTGGCAGGCATGGCTACGTGACAAAAGTTCCTTTTTTTCGGGAGTGGCTTTCTATGGGGTCCTATTGGTCTCCCCCCCCTTCTGCTTATCCACTCCCCGCCTCCCTTTGCCAATAAGGTTTGCAAACGGCAAGGAAAAGCAACAGCCCTTTTAGATGCCTTCCCCTCGGAAAGAAAGACTCTTGGAGGGCTGGTCTGGGGGGTGGGCAGAGCCATAAGGGCTCTCGGATCTTGAGCCAGCCTGACTCCTGGATTTTGCCCCCGCGGTGACTCTCAGCCGGCCGCTGGTCTCTGGACCTCGTCACTTTCCTTTGGGGAGTGTTTTCCTGTCCTACCTTGTCTGCCTGTTGTAAAGGCTAGATAGGGGGTGTGCCCGGAGATTCCAGATCTGTTCCGGGCGGCTTTCTTGTCTCAGCCTTGCCGTGAGCTCTGAGGCAATGGGACCGGACTTAAACCTGGTGAAGAAGGGGCTCAGGCGGGGCTCGCCCCCCAAGCGGTGAGCCAGCTGACCCTTCTTGGCCAGCCTCCGGGAGCCTCCCGGGTGCCCGGGTACAGCGTGTGGCTCTGCCTCTGCCAACGCTTCTCGCTCTCTGAGTGGCACAGCAGCGACGCCGGCTTGTTTACTCCGTGGCTGGCACCGGGTGGCGAGGGAGACGCCCTCTGGGCTCCAGCTGGCCGAGGGTTTTCCCTTCCGTAGGGGAGGGGGCACAAACGGGCCGGTCAAATCAGGGAGGAGCAAAGATTCCCCCCCCCCAAAAAAAAGAGTAGGCGTTTTTTGAAGCAGGAGGGGGGCTCCTTTTCAACTTTTCTCCTCAACGACGGCTCGGCGAGGTAGGCCCTGCATTCACTCCGTTGAGTGTTGTGGCTCAGTGGGGATTCCAACCTGGGTCTTCCGTGTCCCGCCTGACCCAGTCTTGGCAGGTGACGGTTCTGCGGAGCCCTAGAAGGCAAAGGAATTGCTAAGGTTTCCCAAAGGCCATCTAGACTGACCCGTGACCAGTGGGAAGGACCCACAGCTAAAGCCTCCGTGAAGGATGAACCTTGGTTCAAATGTCTCTAGCGAAGGAACCCCCAGCCTCAGCTCTCACGACAACCCTTCGGGGGGGGAGCAATCATTCTCTGCCTACCTAGCAGGGCTGTCATGAAGATAGCGATGAGGGACCCGTGGTCATTCCCTTTGGGCTCAGTAGCAGAATTGAAATGAAGCAAACACCTCGTCCTAAGTTTTTAGGCAAAAAAATCTCCTTTTTCTGTAATTTTGGGTTTCTGGGCTTCCAGATCTGGCGGAGAACGTAACCCACCCTTTGTCTGTCCTTCCTCGCAGGGAGAGAAGAACCATGGCTTTGATGTCCTTTATCACAACATGAAGCATGGGCAGATCTCGGTCAAAGAATTGGCGGAGTTTGTGCGGGAGAGGTACGGGGCGGCCAAGGGCAGGTGGGAGGCATTTTTAATTGATCTTTCCTAAGTGAGATGATTAGCAACCCAGGGTGTGTAAATCTTGCCTTAGCCGTGGCCCTTGTGGTTGATGCAAAGGTTAACCATG